CTACGCTCGACAAAACTCGGAAAAGAAATTGAATTCTACTTTCGGATGGCACATGCCACGTTAAAATAAGGCACCACGTCCGACGCTGTTCACGCGATCGTTCGATATTTTCAGAGTGCAACAAAAATCCATGATCTCGCGATATACATACATGTTTTTTTTTTTTTTTGTTTCTTTTTCTTTTTCTTTTTTTTTTTTTCTTTTCTTTTTCTCCTCATCTCAACTCGCTCGAAGAAGCCACTACAAAAGTTATTGCTATGCTCGCATAGCACTAAACGACGATAAATCGCGTAGCGCACTCCTCGATATATTGACTTTACTTTATTTGATATTCGTTTTTTTGAGACAGCAGTGCCGTAATTCTTTACAACACTCGGAGAGAAATAGAGTAGAAAAACATTTCTTTTTTTTTTTTTTTTTCTTCTCGTAGCCGATGAACTGTTTCTTTTTTTTGATCCCCGCAATGAACGCATCGCATTCTCTCTCTCTCTCTCTCTCTTTCTCTCTCTCTCTTTAGATGATGGTGTAACTTAAAGCTAAACTATGTTTTCGTAGCGAAGCCACAGGTCAAACTGTCTCTTCCGTCACGCTCCTCGGTATCTGCAACACGCTGATGCTGAAACGAAACAACAAGATCGAAATGATGACGCCCCACGTGCTAGCTAACGTGCTCGATTCGAAGCGGCACTTTTTAACAAAGCGTGATGAGCTCGATGAGTATATATATATATACGCGTAGATGCATGTATGTATGTATACGCAGTGGAAGATGAAGTCGAAGATAATCGCATGATGGACGAAATGATGAACGTTGTTCGAAACGTGGTTGGTCGACCGATGCACAGAATTATTCTCACGCGATTAATTTCAATAATGATAACGATTCCTTTCTCGCGCTTGTACTTAACTCTTAAGAGGTTCGTAGTGCAATTCGAAATACGAAAGTGCGCGAATCCCTTCACGATGGATCGACGATTTAAACGATCCACAATCCTGACCGATCGAGTCCAGCGAAATTCGTTACGCGAAGATCGAGAGGTCGACGATTACGAAAAGGATCGTTGTGATTGCGCTTCCTACGAAAAAATTTCTTTTCTTTTTTCTTATTCTCACTCACGGACGATGACGTGAAATGGTGGGCGTGAAATGGTTGGAGAGTGAAGAGAAACGTTTCTACGTACCATGAGGTGAATGAGGCCTGGTATATGGAATTATTTTGCAAATCTTTTCTTTTCTTTTCTTTTCTTTTTTTGCGATAGGAAAGCGACGAATAAGAGAAACGAAGGAAAATGGAATCGCGATCGTTGCAATCTTACAAAGTGATAGCCTAGCCCTACCAACAAGCTTGTTTACTTGGCGACGCCGGCTATCCTCGTGTCGTCTTGCATCTCGACGACGATGGTGTCGGGATCGGGTACCCTGTTTGCGGAAATGCATCCGTTCGCGATCGTTGTGGGCAAAACGGTTTCCGACTGAAACGGAAATCACATGAACGATATTACACCTCTGTTTCCGTTCCCGTAAGCGTAAATAAATAAGCGTATCCGTTCGCTTCGTTTTTCGTATCGATCGATCATACTTGATAGGCTGCCGCATCCAGCGCCATCAATTCCTTTTTCGACAACTGCTCGACCACAGCGGCGGCGTAGCAATCGCCCAACATGTTGTTCGTGGTACGAATGCGATCCCTGAACCACGTGAAAAGGAGAGAGAGAGAAAAAAAAAAAAAAAAAAAAAAAAAAAAGAAAACATTGGATGAGCGATCGAATTTTATTTAGGAAGATATGATAACGGGACTTACGTTACTTACACGAACCAATCGATGGTGAATAAAAGGGAGACGTTGTAAACGGGGGCGTTGATGGCGCTCAACACTACCAGAAGGAGGACCAAAGCGGCGCTTGGGACTGACGCCGATGACACGGACGCGGCGGTGGAGGTCAAACTTGAACGAAAGAGAAAAAAAAAGGAACGAATTAAACATCTCGATCTTGATATAAAATGATAAAAGACATACATCGACAGACATCGAAGAGAAAGAAAAGTGTTATTTACTCACATAACCGTTATGATTTCACCGAAGCCCAAAGCGATCCCGTGCATCTGGGCGATGAATATGCTTGCCACTGCCACGAACAACGCCGTCCCGTCCATGTTAATATTGCAACCGATCGGTAGAACGAATCTGGTCACTCTAGGATCGACTCGAAGTTTGTCCGTCATCAGGCGAAAAGTGACGGGAAGTGCGGCAGCCCTGTACAAAACTACATTAGGGAGAATCGAGGAAAACGCGGTCGAGTCGAGTGAAGATTAGTAGAAAGATTATTTCTGCGTGCTGCGTAGCCGGTGTCCATGGAGGAGGGGGTCATTCTGGCATAGTAGTAGTAGTAGTAGTAGCAGTATAACAACGATAACGACGTTAATAGTAACGTTAATAATTCGAAAGGAAATTCTTTTTTTTTTTTTCTCTCTCCGTATCGTATACGGGATACGAGACGTACGTACGTGGAACATCGAGACGTGGAATGAGATGGATGAAGCGAGCGAAATCGAACGGAATCGGATGGAGGAAGTACTCGATCTCGAAGAGAGCGCGCGCCGTTACATATATATATATATATATATCGATTACGTCGATTGATAGAGCGTTCGGTGGACAAACGATTCGTTTGTTCATGGGCGGAAAGATTTACTTTTTCTTTCTTTCTTTCTTTCTTTCTTTCTTACTTTTTCTTTCTTTCTTTTCTTTTCTTTTCTTTTCTTTTTTTTTTTCTATTCTTTATAGAGAGACTAACGACCAGAATGACCGCGTCGACACGAACTGAAAATCAACCAGGGTTAATCAAGTCAGGGTGTCGATGGAGGACGGCCTCTCGCATCTCCATCGCATCTCTCGGGGAGGGAGGGGAAAAAAGCTTTTTAAAATCCTGCAACAGACAATCGCATGTACCTTCATGTCGCGGCCATCGATTACTTACCAAGGCCACCCTCGGTCTCTGAACCACCTGCAAAAGGCCGCGTGCAGCGCGTGTTCTAATACATCATCATGATATTCATACAGTCTCTGTTCAGATACGCTAAGAGCTGTATCTCTCAGTCACAGTGTACGCACAGTTGTGTACGCTCTCTTCTGGAAAAAGTTAATCCACATAGAAAATAAGTTGAATTAGATATTGGCGTTGCAGGGGCGTTTTTTTTTTTTTCGATCTTGATCGCGCCGCGATGATGGGACGGAAAAGGTTTGCAAAGAAGAAGCGAGCGATTGCAAACGCTGTTTAACGCGAATCCCTTCTCTGTCCCACGATGCATCGGACGGAACGGGAATGAGAAGGGAGGGAGAGAAGGAGGAGGAAGGAAGGAGGAAGGGGGATGGGAGGAGATTTTTGATTTTTCTTCTCGGGATGGTTACGCTTCTTTCGGATGGATAAACTGAAAAAATGATCGTTGCTTCGCGTGATCCGCGATAATGAAACGGTCGAACAAAAATATATTATCGCACGATCGTGGTTCGGGTGAGTTCTGGCCAGTTCTGGACGGCGCCGGCAAACCTGGAAGAGCGGGCTCGACACGAGCAATCAATATTTTTTTCAGCTTTCCTCTCTCTTGTTCGTGGAAATTATTTTTTCCAAGCGACGATATATATAGGTGGATGAAACGTTACGTGCTACGTTTCGACGATTTCGTCCTCCTCTCCGCCCCGGATACTCTTCCGTTCTCAAGACGGAAGAAGGGCAGAAGAGGATTCGGATCGGAAGCTTTTCGAAATCTTCCACGCCAACGATCAGTCCAGGTGACACGGAGTCAGCTGATTTCCGGTTATAAATCACACACGGATAATGCGAATAATACGAAAACATTTCCGTGCCTTTTATCCTTTTCTCTAATTCTCTCTACCTTCGTTTATCTCTCTTTCTCTCTCTTTCTCGATATCGGTCATTTCGTCCCCGAGTGTCATCGAAATTTCGGAGGAGATTAAACGAAACGAAACGAAACGAAATTCTTTCGTTTCGAAGCCGAAAGTTCGTGATCGTGCGCTAGGAAACCGGGAGTATCCGCATCCTAAGTGCCACCCGGAACTGCATACCTCTCTCCCTTTCTCTCTCTCTCTCTATCTTTCTTTCTTTCTCTCTCTCTTATTGGTCACGAACAGTTCCCCCCGCGAGCAACGCAGAAACATTAAAGAAAACGTGTATAAAAAAAAAGGTTTCGAAGAGGGATCGAATGAAAGACGGGAGAGATGGGATACGTTCGACAACGGGTCTTAACGTTGTGAAACGTTGCCCGGCAAAGGACGAATCTAGGGGAAATAGCGTGTGTGGGGATCAAGGCCTCGCAATGCCTCCTCTCGGCTAGCTGAAACATATTGTCTCTATCAATCGATTCAGACCATGCGTCCACCTGTTTTTCTCTCGAGTCTTGATCGCCTTTTTTCTTTCCTTTCTTTTTTTTTTTTTTTTCAATTTCTTCGACGACGCGATGTAAAAAGAAAAAAAGGGGGGAGGGGGAGGAAAAAAAAGAAGAAAAAAAAGAAGGAAAAGAAGAAGAAGAAGAAAACAAGTTGAGTAACGGAAAATTAAAAATTTTCGCGATGAACCCAAGAGTCGGAGAAAAGATTGGAGAAATAAATGACGATGACGACCGAGGCCATGTGAGGTAGGCGATATGGGTAACTCTGAAGGTCGGGCTGTGTTCGAAGATCGACGACTCACGTTGATGCCATGGCGAAGGCGGTGAGTGTACCCTGGGCGAGGCCGGCGTAGAATTTAAAGGGGTTCTTTCTCACGAAGGCCAAATAGATCAGCTGCATGATCACCAGCTGATAGAAAAACACACCGATCACGATCGTGACGATGAACCAGGCGAGCTGCGACATCACCAACGCCAAGTCGGCTACGCCCAATATTTTCCCAGCTATCACGGACGTGATGCCCACAGGTGTCATCCTGCGTGCGCATAATCGAATTAATGCGGTATATTGTATTCTATTACCCGAGAGATTATTTTATATTTTACTCACCACATCACCGTAGACACCATTCTCATGATCACTTCGAACACAGCTTTGAAGAAGTCGATCACGATTTGGCCTTTCTCCCCGAGAGTACCCAAGAATGTGCCGAACACCAGGCAGAAGAAAACAATGCCCAGAGTGTTTGTCCCGCTTCTGTACTGCGTCACTCTCATCAATTCCTCGTCACCGAGAACGTCCGAGGATATGGAAACCGTCGAGGTGAGGTTCTGGAAGGGCGGCGTTTTTGGAACGTATACCGTGTGTGCCTGCCAAGGGGAAACGTTCCATTGTTCATTTCAAAAGTTGTTGTTCTTCTCTACAACGTAAAAAGAAAAGATACAACGCGTACCTGCTGAAAAGCTGCTTGGAATATATTATCCGGAAACATATTTCTGTAACACATATATATATATATATATTTTTTTTTATAGTAAGCAATCGATCGATAGATAGGTTTATCGACGATATACGGCGTATATAATTCCATTAGCGGATGGCATGCATGCATCGCGAGCAAGCGTGGCTTAAACGGACTGGCAAATAAAGTACTCGTATATACCCGATCGATATATTTTATTTTTGTCATCCTAGCGGATAGATGGATGTAGATATAGATATCCTGCCACCCGGAGAAGTTCACCGATCGTGAAATCGCGACGACCTTAATTTCTCTTCGATTCATTCGATAGCCGTAATAATTTATAACGTGGCGTGTAAACGATGGGGAAACGCTGTTGTCGCCGGCGTATCGAGCCACGCTATTAACGATCGTTCCCCAGTTGTCGGCCAGAGTATTTGATTTTGTTATCCTTCCCGTTCAGGAGGGAAGGGGAGGGTAGAAATCGACGAGAAACGATCGAAAATACAGGGAAGTAAGGAGAGGGAAGGGAGCGATATATATCCGTCGTGGAAGAGTGGAACGAGTCAAGCGTTGCTCGTCCCACGTCGAGCAAAGGATTCTACTTTTATCCGTAGGAAAATTCCGGAACGGCTCGTGTCCCCTTAACGTGTCGACGCAAAAGCACGGAAATAACGAGCGAGCGAGCGAGCGAGCGAGCTGTGATCGATCGCGGGTTATCGAAAGAGCGCGCCGCGATTCTCGCGGGAGCAGAAGGGAAGGGAGGGAGGAAAACGTAATACCACCTTCCCAAATCGAGAAGGCTGTCCAAGATGTTCACGGCCCTTCCATTGTGCGAGGTCGCGATCGATTTTCTAATTCCAGGATTACCCGGATGAATGAGCAGAACCAGGACAACACCGAGGACAGCGTTCAACAAGGAGGAGAGTATAAAGTACACCAAAGTTCGGACGGCGATCATCCCGTTCATCCTCGCGTTCAAACTCGCCGAGCCTGAAAATTATCCGTCAAAAACTTGATTCCATTCCGATTTCTTTTTTTTTTTTTTTTCTTTAATCCCCAATTTTTATTTATTCCCCTTTTCCTCCGTATAACGCATAAAGTTACGTATAATTACCCGATATAAGGCTGGCAATCACCAGTGGTAAGATCATTAACTTTAACAACCTCATGAAGAGCTCTCCGGGATAACTGATTAACATAACTGCGTCATCGCCGAGGCCCAAGGGTCGTAAACCGAACCCTGAAAAAAATAACGAGATTACCGCACACTACTACTGCTACTACTACTACTACTACTACTACTACTAGTACTACTACCTATGACTTCTAGAAGGCTTAAGGCTATTCAAGGTGAACGTGATGAAGTAACGTAACGGGGGATCGAAAACGAGTTCACCTTCTGAAATTCTTATCTGTAGAGGAAAAAGAAGAAAAAAAAAAAAAGAAAAAGGAAAAAAGAAGGAGAAATTATATCCAACAGCGAACAACGAGGTTAAATGTATAAAAGATACGCACAAGTGGTGTGTATCTAGAAGTGGACGATAAAATTGTTGGACGACAAGTTTGATAAACGAGAATAACTTTGTAAATTGTCTATAGACGACACGAATTATAAAAGAAAAGGGAAGGGGAGGGAGGGAATTGCTTTATCGATGCCCACACGAATAAATAAATAGGATTTTAAAAAAATGAAATTCGAACGAACGATTTTGCGTCGTCGACTCGAAGGAGATTTGCCTCGTGGCAATTAAAAGTCCAGAAAAAAGAAAAATGTTACAACTCGGAAAAAAGAAAAAGAAAGAAAATTATTATTATCTTACGTACGAAAGAGCTTATTCTTTCGGCTTCGGAAAGACACGTTAGTTAATTAGATGAGACTTTGGAAGGAAACCTCTCGCCAATAATTGGTACTTTCTAACAGGATAATACAGCCACGTTTTACGTAACGTACGTTAATTTCAAAGGGAGATCGTTTCCGTCGATGATGCTCTCGAAGCTTATTAAATCCGCTTATATATGTTCCTTCCCGATTGTCAATTTCATTTTACGGCGATCAATCCGTCTCTCGAGGAAACGTCATCGAACGTTTACGTATCGATCGAACGATTACGAAGCCCCGATCGTTAAATAAAGCGAACACAGCGATCATTTATTAACTATTATCCGCGACATTTGGACACGTGACGTTTCCGCGACGAGAGGAAGAAAGGAAAGGGAGAAGGAAAGAAAGAGGAAGAGGAAAAAAGAAAACAAGTTCCATCCACGATTACGCGATCGATCGACGATGGAAAAAGTTGGATCGAACCTCGACCTTGGCACCCTTTTCCATAATGGACGAAAGCGTAGGGGATGCTTTTGGCATGGTACTATCGTACTTGTCCAGAATATATCACGTTTATAACGTATATACGTTCTACTCAACCCATTCTTCGTATCTCTCTCTCTCTCTCTCTATATATATATATATATATATACATCGAGTATCGAATTCACGGATGAAAAAGTCCCTGAACCTGGGGCGCACTTTGTCGAACGAAAAGTCGATCGAAAGTTTTCTCTCCGCGTAACCGATCGACATTTACTCGACGTATCGCGATATTAATAAATGGGGTGAAAAGAAGAAAGAAAAGGGGTAATTAACGAGACGGATGTTTGGGCGGACGGAAAGGGGATTACTCACCGAGTACGACGCCGAAGAGGACACCGGAAAGGGTAACTATGAGAAGAAGATTCTCCCGCATGAATTTTCTGGTGTCGGCGGTCACCTTACGGGGACCCTGAGAGGCCGACACGTCCTGGCCATCCATCTTGGCGAACAAGTACTCGGAGAACCGAGCCGAGGACTTCTCCT